TTTAATAATTTATATTGCGCTTTTTACATACAATGATCAAAAGCGCATTACAATACACTCTATTATACATGCAACTATTAATAATCTTAAATATATACATTTAATGGAGGCTAAAAGCTAGCTTAAAAAGATATGTTTTCAGAGAGGATTTAAAAATTGAAAGAGAACTGATACTCCGAAGGCTTACAGGAAGTGCATTCCAGAGTGTTGGCGCAGCCACACTAAAAGATCTGTCTCCGAATGATTTTAACGTCTTCCCCACTGGATGTGAGATGATAATACCCGAATTGGAACGGAGCGAGTAACGTTCATGTTTCCTTATCTTAATAAGTTCCCTATAATATAATCTGGCGCCAAGCCGTTAAGAGCTATGAAAGTTAAGAGTAAAATCTTAAAATGAATCCTAAACCTATAACTGGCAACCAGTGTAGTATAAAAAAGCGCGTTTTAATAGAAGAAAAAAGAGCTTGACTGTTGATTACCCTTGTCGTGAGAAGACCGCAAGACAATGGATTGATTCTTTAGAAGCCATGCTGGAAAGCCTCCCTAATGGTAAATTGTTCAAGAAAAAGATTATTGCTTTCATTCACTATTACAACCGGCATAATATTCAATTTTGAAATAAAATTTAAATACTTACAAAATCCCATTCAGAACAAATATATGGACCTATATAAAAAATAATTTTAATGCTGATTAAAAGTCGATCACTAATATTGATTATTGTGCAAGTGAAAGGTGCAACGTTTTCAAACGAGAACTAATTCAAACCAACTTCTCTCTTTGTGAAATCTGGAAGGATCGTGGAGAAAGAAACGTTACAAGTCAAATTACTTGAAAAAAGCGAACGTGCACCTGAAATTCTTTCTCAATCTGACATTTTTTTATCAAATGCAATATATATCTAATCAGCCATGCTCATATGGAAGCCATAATTATTGCCCTATAATATATTACTTCTTTTCATTCGAAGATAACTGTAATAATTATGATATCTAATATCTTGCATGACTGCGGTGTATGCATGCAAAGTGCACAAATGTAATTCTTGTAAAGCACTTACCTGGCCTTAAAACCAGTAACAGTCCAGTTTCATTGACCAACTCAATAAAACTCAGAAGATCTGCATCTCCAACAAAATTATAATGTCCCGGAGTTGGTTCGTGGATATTCCATGCTACATAGCTACAGGGTAGAATGTAATGTTTGAAGGATCTTGTAGATGGAAATTATCGGGTGGAAATTTATGTACTAAAACATGAACTTCCGATCTTTATCTGATATACACACTCGAGCCGAGAGTTTGTATGTCAGATAAAGATCGGACGCGAATATTTTAACGTAATTAAAAAACGACCCATCTTATATGAGTTCATTGGCGAAAAATGCAACTATAGATCCCTGGCAGGAATCGAAAGATTCAATTTTGAACTAACATCTGACCACCTGAAAACATTCTTCAGGGAAAAGTAATCAGGCCTGGCCGATTTTATAATGACGTCATAATGTCAGTCGACCAAGTAAAGGTGACGTCATTCATTTCGATTTTTTCATGATAATTTCCAATGTACCATGTTACTGTAACCAATGTTCTTTAAAACCGTGAATCAACGCTCAGTGTATATAATTTTTAAAGTGCGTAACTTTCTCAACAATTGGTTTCATACAATCAGATATACAGATAATTCTACCCGTTCCCTACCGATAAGGCAAAAATCGGTCCAAATCCAATACCAATACCAATACCGATTATTCGTCAATCCCTAATCACAGTATAGGGACCCTAATCATGGATGTCATTGAATTTTCATTGATTTCCAGTACAATACTAATTACCATTGAACGCCACCGCTCCCCCCTTGACGATCAAGTAAAATCATCTGGCGTTTATAGACATGGTGGTAAAGGGTGTTATTGTGAGCCCCGCATTGCTAATATTTGTCCTCTTGACATGTGAAATGACGGATTTTTGACATGTATACTATTGGCCTCTCCAGCCCATATTGCCCTTTCCCCACCAGGTAAACTATTTTGACATGTCTAGTAAAGCGTAAAGGTCGTTTTGTCCACAGTATAAGAAAACAAGGGGAACACAAACTTCAGATGAGTGCTTTTACAGGGTTCGTAGTCTCCAAGACCAAAAATATTCAAAGACTTTCAAAGATTTTTTCTGCCTATTTTCAAAGACTTTTCAAAGACCTTTGAGAGCAATCAGCTGTCGAAAACTTGCGAGCGTAAGCACCATTTTTGCCCAGTAATTAGTCCCGCCACATCACATCTTAAAATGTACCTTTTCGTCGATATTTGCGAAAACGTTGCTCTTCAATCAATCTATTTTATTAGCTTTTGGAAATTGTATAATCAAATACTCACTAAATAATTAATTTTAAAGACTTTTAAAGACTTTCTTCGCTTTTTCACACAATTCAAAGATTTTTCAAAGACCTTAAAGACATGCATTCAAATTCAAAGACTTTCAAGGATTTCAAAGACCGCTACGAACCCTGAAAATATTCCCATAAAAAACAAACCTTGTTTTTATACTGAAAGCTCAGTCTGCATACTTGAATATATCAAAAGTTGAAACTAAGCCCAAGAGGCTCAAAAAACGAAAATTGTCTGACAGTGGACCCCATTGCCCCTTCCTGTAGCAGTAGCTGCATCTTTCTAATTCCGGCCCATCTCTTAGAATCTGGACTGTGGAAGTGGGAGATGAAATCCCCCTAAAAATATTATTTATGACAACGGCTTGTGTGTCCATAAACATACATTTTTGTTCACTAAAGCAGTAAAGTGAATACTAAGGTTGCATTCTAGATATATTGAATGAAGGTCATCTGAACTGAAGATACCCATTGCATGATAAGTACTGTAAGTTCAAACATTCTATACTTCCAGACCGGAAAAACGCAGATTTATACTCCATACGATCACCTAGTAGTTGCTCCTGATTTTTGTTGCCTTTCAATTTTTTACTTGCTAAGTTTCTCTAACTTGGCCGTTTGGGATCGAATACAATGTTGTCCCTTCTAAATTCTGAATGCATTTTTAAACTTTCTAAGAGCAGTGACGCATATTGTAAGATTACGCATTATGCAGGCATAGCTACTACGTAGAAAAGCAAAAGTAGCAACTGAAGGCAAACATACGTAGTCTGCCTTTATCACCCTCTACGGACCGTAGAGGGTGATAAAGGGGAGTTCGGATCACGTTTCACGTGAAGAAAAACAGTCATTTCACATTTTGCATGCAAAAAATCATTAGGGACCGGTCATTATTTATGGTGGGGGGTGGCACCGAAGAGAAATGTATTTCGTTGCAAAAATTTTGCTTACCCAACCATTAAAAAATCAAAAATTTGATTACCCAACCTCAAGTATCATTTAAAAAATAAATACCCACCCCTGGCCAAAAACGTTACAAAAGGATGTCATTCAGTTGTCACACATGACAGTCTCCCTCGCAGACGTTCTTACTAGTCCTTTACCAATTCTGTGATACGTTTGATTACGTTCGGCTTGTGAATGTTTGATAGTTTGATAACGTTCTGCTTGTGAAATTTACTGACTTTTCTGCAGTCTAAAGTTTCATGTTGTCTGCACATTTACTTTCTTTGGAGACACCATTTGTCTCCCAACAAATCGGAAAATGATGAAGATATAGATTGATTCACATATTGTATTGACATATGACTGTTGACTTTGAAGTTTTCAGTCTTCAATATTTGAGTGAGTCATGCTTTGGAATTGACAATATATTTTTATTACCCAACCTTTGAGTTGTTTCGTTTTTGATTTACCCAACTTTTACTCACTCAAACTTTTGTTTACCCAACCCTTTTCTCTTCGGTGCCACCCCCCGCCATAAATAATGACCGCTCCCTTACCATATTTCGCGAAAATTAAATTACACGTTAACTTTTTAATTGTAATTTGTATTTTCTATCCTTATGTATTTTAATGCTTTTCTTGATCCTTATTTTTACGTTATCGAATCTAATTTGTGGAGTGAAAGCTCAACATTCAAAGACTTTTTCAAAACCAACCAAGTAGTAAACATCAAGAAAATGTATGTTTGCAGTCTTGCAGTAATAAGGCCCATACAGACGGCCGAATGCGATTCGACAACGCGACGCCAATTTAGTCAGTTTTGTTGAAAACTAATAAAACCGTAAACAGTGATGGCCGGATAAAAATTTTATAAGATATTCAGACCAAATAGCTAAAATTGCTTATGTGGTTTCGGATATTAGAAAAACATAGAAAAATTTTAAAGTTAAATGTCATTGAAAATTGAAAATTCGCATCGCGTTGCCAAATCGCGTCTGGTCTGTATGGGCCAGCCATTGAGAGCCGCAAATTAAAAAAAAATATGTATACCAAATAACTCAAAATGTTGTACCGGGCCGCTTCTAAATATTTGGAAAATTTAAACTAGTAGGATAAAAAAAAAATCGCGTCGCGTTGTCGAATCGCGTCCAGTGTGTATGGACCTTAAAGGTTTTCACTGATTGAACGATAACTTTGATCCTAGTTTAATAAATTTTCCAAATATTTAGAAGCGGTATAACATTTTGAGTTATTTGGTATACATATCTTTTAAAATTTGCTCTCATTGGCTGTTTTATTAACTTTCAAAAACTAAAAAATCGCGTCGTGTTGTCGAATCGCGCCCGGTGTGTATGGACCTTAATTGTTACATCCAAAGCATTGATCTTCTTCACGTTCGCACTTCTCAATACTCGTCCAATCTTTGTTCTACCAGCCTCATATAAATTCTTATTTCCTGGACAAAATTACCAGCAATATCATCTAGGCATGTAAATCATCGGTTCACGACACAAAAATCCGTCATTTCCCAATTCACGAGAACAAATATTGGTACAGAGGTGGATAAAGTATCCGAACCTGGGAACCTAATTAATTAACTTCCTGGCAAGAAAATTTACCAATGGGAATTTAGCCAAATTAAGTTTTGGCAACCAAAAAACCTTTTTACATTGTCATTAACATTCAGTTATACGTGCAATGATTTTCTCGTCTGGTAAGATAGGGGCAAAACCAGAGTTACCAGAGTTTTCCAAATAGAGGCTAAATTCGTGATTTAATTCTTGACAAAATTTAGCGATCTCAATTTTAGACACAAGTTTAAAAGTTTGATTACTGTGAAGTGTGGTTTGATCGATAGAACGAGATTGAGAATATTATGTTGCCTAGCTGTTACGTCAAGTAATTTTCAATGCATCTAAATATTAGGTATACACCATGGACGTACCGTCTATTAATAAATTCTGTTTTGACCTGGGTGTCTATTATCTAGATACGGGGTTGTTTAGTGGAGAGTTGGCATTAATTAGATCATTTAAGGTAGCTTTCCTAATTAAAGGAAAACTGATCAGTAAGCCGTATGCCCACTAGGTGTGTGACTGCAGACCAAAGTTACAGCCTGAAGAAGCTACATGATGTGTAATTTTACTAAATTAAAATGCCTTGAAAATTGGATTATTAAAATTTCCTGTCATTTTCCTGGCAATTCATTCAATTTCCTTCCAAATTGGATTTCCTTCTTTTTTTCGTGCCAGAGCCCTGAATTTTCTTTTTCCAGGCTCAAAATTGTACCCCAGCCCTCATGCCCAGCACCTAACCTGTGAAGGGCATTTTCTGGGTACGAGATTGGTGGATCTATGGTATGTTTCTTTGTGTCGTCTAAAGATCACATGACTTAATTCACTAACCGGAAATTTCAACATATTAGCCCGCGCGCTGGGCTGAGTTAAGGAGTTTCCTATCCTTCCCTTCCACCATCTATGGTGGAAGCTCCGTTTGGAAAAGTCTTCTGGAAATTCCTTACTATTTCGCAAATAACTTCGTCGAAAATTCCTTTGTTTTTGTTGCTAACTATATGTAAACAAAGACGAAGGATTTTGCGAAAGTCGAAAATCTAGCTGCATCACTGATCTGAAAACTAGAATAAATTTGTCACGACCCAGCTCACCTCTGCACGGCATTGAGACCTGCAGCCTTGATTTTCAATAATCTATCTTTCCAATAATACCTTGGCACTCGAAAATAGTGAAACCCACCGGAAATATATCGAAATTCTTTGCCATCTTTCAGAAAACAATCTCGCTCGTAGTCAATAGTTAAAGATCTGCTTTGTGCAAGGTGTAATGTCACTGAAAGCAAGAATATTGCACAAAATATTACTGTTGACGCTTTCATATTGCTTCACAAAATATACTTGTAGTTGTAGTTTCTTCCACAATCCAAACATAAACAAATGATGCAAACTGCCTGTGCTGCAAGTGTCACGCAGCGTCACCGGAAGCCTCCGACCGGAAGTCAACACCTGGAAAGACTAAAATATTTTTAAAAAATCATTGAAAAACACTGAAGATACAGTATTGAATTATGTAAATGTTTACGTCAATCAGGGTCAATGGGTCTTTCGAACTTCGAAGTTTCGTCACAGTGGTCATCGACTTTTATAGGTGCAGCCGTGCAGTACAAAGCACAGTTCCACGATCAGTGTTCTACGATTAATAGTGCAAGAATGAGCAAGCAAAGAAAAGTGGAGTTTTTCTATGATGTTTTATCACCTTATTCATGGATTGGATTTGAGGTTTTGTGGCATACAACATGTCAACATATTATAGAGTAAATTTTAATTTTTGTCGCAGAAAACGCCTGTATTCTAAAAGCCCACTCACTCAGTGGAAGTTTAATCTGAGCTTCCTTGACTAACCCTCCACTCCTCCAGCTATTCAAAAACAGCACTGACACTCAAGGGCAGCTCAGATTGAACCTCCACTCTTTGAGTGAGCTTTTAGAATACAGGCGTATTAAAGGAGCCTACCCTGGCTTGCGGGGTTGAGGAACCTACTGCTACAAGCCCCAGATAATTTGTCTAATATGTCTAGGACCCTAACCCCCTCTCCACCCACCTGCATGCAGAGGAGAAATTAGCATTTTGTCAGGGATGAAAGTTAACTCACAATATGATTTCAGAGACTCAAAATTTAAAAATTTTCTCACAGAGCAATAGTTTTATTGCCAGTGTAAAAATTTATCTCCCCTATTGATGATCTTAGTCCCATTGTTGTAGAATTTAAGGGGCCCACATGGCACACAACTGACAAGGGCAATATTTTTCAGGATATAAAGTCAGAACCAGTGATGTTTTCCAGGGGGAACGCGGGGGAACGCCGTCCCCCCACCTTTTTTACCAGGGGAACGGCATCCCCCCTGCCAAAATCAAACGTGGGGGAACGGCGTTCCCCCTGGCAGGGATTAAATATGAGTGAAATTCAGTGAACGCTGTTCGACACCGTCCAAATAATTTTGGCTATCACTTGTACAGTAAGTACAGACGTTGTACTACATACGTGATATTTTTGACAATAATTGCTCCGCAGTCCTACGTAGAAATACTTCAGAATGTAATTTTGTCACTATTTTAATCTCCCTGGAACTTGATATACTTGCAGAAAATGCTAGCAGACTAGCTTGATAGAACTACTTATTGTCACAAGTGTGGATAATGTCAGGCAGAAGCCCAGCAGGATATAATTACTCTAGAAATTAATTAAACATTAAAATGATTCAATAAGAACATTAACATGATTAAATTGGAAACATTCAAGGATATTTATTATCTAAGCTTATTTAGTTACTCGCGAAAATGCCATATTTCACTTGCAAAGTTGCCTGCTTGCCGAGTTGCCGCATACTCCGTGCTCACATAGTGCTAATTGCATCGTCGAAATTCGAAAACAACGTAGTTTTATTTACTTTTTGGCATCTACCGCGAGCAAGCTAGGTGTTTTTTAGGTATCATGTTCTACTAAATCCACTTCAAAGATTAAGCTGTTACGTATGTACTTGTTCGCTATGACCGTGCATGAGGCCACGCCCAATCGAGTGACCACGCCCATTTGATTTTCAAGAGCGTCCCGCCACTTCTAAAATTAGGAAAACATCGCTGGGAGAACGTGCTGTAAGAATGAGCTGGCAGCCCAATGGCAATGGCTAGGCATGTTAAATATTTGACTAAAATTTTCAATTTTTTAATAAAGCTGTGCCTTAAAATATGGTGAAAGTAGCTAGAATAAATGTCTACATAACAATTACAAATAGGCCTGAGTCAGGTGACTGGAAAGTTTGGAAATTGCGCACCCGAGATTTGAAAAATTTAATACTGAATAATATATAGAATGCATCAAAATTGCACAACCGAGATATACAAACTTTCCACACTGGCAGATAGGTGAAACCAGCTTTTTAAATTTGATATGATACCAGTATGATACTGTGCATAAGCATTTTGGTTGATACCGATCACCAATCAGTGATGCTTCAATGTAATTAATGATGACATCAACATTAAAACAGTGATGATGTCATCAAATTTAATAAATGTGATCACAAACTTCTATCTTTATGTACTATTTAAAAAACGAGCAGGAGTGTTTTGTTAGGTTTAAAGCCACGAGCGGGACAAGCGCGAGTGGCTTTAGACCTAATAAAACACGACCTGCGAGTTTTTTAAATGGCTTCAAAAACGTTTGCATAATAAGTCAAATCTTTATATAAAAATCTTTATATAGTTTGCATAACAATGGTCTTTTGTTAAAGTGTTCTTTAGCTGGTATAAAGACGTATGCACGTGACTAATTTCTTACTCAAGATTGGATAATTGCTTCATGAATTATTAATGAGTTTTTGAATAATAGTTGCAAAACTACTTGGAAAAAATAATCTACTGACTTTTCTAACTTTTCTATGATTTTTATAAATGCTGACCAAACATATTACAGGCTCAAATGGTATCAAAATTATCAATACTTTTCATAAGTACAGAAAATATAGATAGTATCGATATTATCGATATTTGGTGTTGATATCTGGCCATCCCTAATAACAATACAATTCTGCATCAACATGGTGCATGTTCTGGTTGCCTGCAACAGGCAAGGTCACTCACAGCATAGTTATAGTCATCAATCAGTCATTCAGACAAATTCAGCATTCAGTCGACTGTCAATTCTAGCATTCAGGCAATTCTGGCATTCAGTCATTTCTCACTTTACAATGCTACTTTTGCCAACAACCGCAGAGTGTTAACGTTGAAAAATGATGAAAGTTAACCTACTTTCAACATCTTTGGCAAGAGAAGATTTCTCATTGGTCCAAGCTTTGAGCTTAGCAGCATCTAAAGACTCGAAAACAGCAGAAACCACTAGAAACGCTTCCAATGTTGTGAAATGTCGAGATTTTTGGGCATCTCGCTCGATAAAACTAACAGTTGAAGAGTTTTGTAGATGAAATTCCGAGCGGAAGTTATATACAATTTTAGACCTAGTCACGAGCGTGTAGCCTGTGTCACCACACAACTAATTGTAATGTCTGTGACACAGGCTAGGGGTGAGCAGCTGTGAAACTGGAACTATAGGCCGGAGGCCCTCTGACTGGAATCGAACCTGCGATTCCTGTGCAGCGTTCTGAGCTACAGAGTCCAGTGGTCGAGCTCTAACCACAATTAAGTTCATATGCCAGTATAAGGCCTTAAGAGTCAACGTTCTACCGAAAGTCGGTGCTCTGGTTTCCTCTAACAAAGAAATATTGACAGAGTAGGTTGCGATTAGCTCCTGATTGGTATTTGACATTAGCTGCTAACTGACCCTCCCACACCGTGGGCGTAGCTGTGCTCCGTGATCAGCCATCATCAGGTGGCTGCATTTTATTATAAATAAGTGATTTTTCATCGAATAAGTAACTTTATCTTATACAATGATTTTTTCGCTTATAACTAACATGAGAATACCTTCGACTCGATCAGATTGAACTGCGTCTTTCGCATTTGAATTTCGCGTCAAGAACAATAACACCAAGTCCAGGAGTAGTATTAATTTGCTATAGAAAGTTAGAAACAATTTAGCACGAAGTCTAGACGAACTGGTCGCTCACAAGAGACTGTCCCTGCCACTGTTCTTAATATGCATGTTATGTAATATATATTTGTATATAGTGAATTAGGTTGGGGTTTTTCCCCCCCTTTTTTTGGAAGGGGTGCGCCTAGCATGGGTCTCGTTGTCCCGTTTGCGCTATCCCCTTTGGACTTAAACTTGTAAATGTTTCTACTATATTTGTCCAATAAAGCTGATAAATAAATAAATAAATAAATATATAAACTGTTGGAGGTAACACAAATGTACGTTCAGGCAAGGCGGCAGAATCGAGGGGTAGGGAGGTTATAGGAAGGAGGGGGGATAGTGACGTTATAGTCATATATATTTAGTTATATATATTTTTCGTTGCCCAAAATGTAAAATGAACAGAATGACAGTTCCTGCACGTCAGATTTCAAACTCTAGATTTTAAAATTTATCGAGGGAGCACACCTCTTGATCCCCCCTAGAGGAGCATGCCTTACCCCCACCCCACCCCAATCCAACCCACCCCAACCCAACCCAACCCAACCCAACCCAAACCAAACCAAACCAAACAAATCTTCTGCCGCCTATGCTTTAGATTCATACATTGCTAACTATAATCTATATATCCTCAAGAATATCGATCCTTACGATTTATGAATATAAACTTTATATACTTACTCAGTGCAAACCATATGGTGCAAACACACTGTGTGGCGCCCTGTGGTATGTATTCCCTACAATTAATAATTAAGACCCAAAGACATAGAAAAGATAACCTGTGCACAAACACAACCAGGAAATGAAACTATTTAAATTGTTTCACATTATGTGACCACACTTTACCACTAACGTACGGCTGGAATATTTCGATGAATAGACTTTACTGTTTATTACATTTTGCCCCATTTGGGCATCGTTTTCATATTTGCCTGTTTCAGCATGGCAGGCGCACATGAAGATTATGTCCTCATGTTTCGCGCGCGAATATGTTTCTCTTTGATAAATTTCCCTAAGAAAAGAATTATATAAATTATTAATTACTTTCGTCCTGAATTATTTTAGTTGCTGTGTCGTTATCGTCAAAACTGGAACATAAAGATCGAATTTCAACCAATAGTTCTTTCTGATATTCTTAAGGAAACTGGTAATCACTTGTAGAAACTTGTTTTGATATTAATTAATTTGGAGCAAAGTTCACCAAGTTTTTATTAAACGTCTTTCTAAATACAGTATGGGGATTTCTCATTTCAAGGTAATTCATCGCCTGGAGCTAACCCAGCTAAGTTCGTTCACTTATTGAAAGATATGAGACGTCTGGTGGATTATTTGAACTGGGTGAAGTAAACTTTCCGGATCGAGTAGGTTTTTTCGACTGCGATTATGTGAAGTCTGTATCTCAAATTAATCAAGAGATTCTTAAGTCGCGGTACCTTTACGCTTTTGAGTTATGTTCCTGCTGGTTTTAAGATATATTTATGAAAATATAATTTTTATACAGTAAAATAGTTGTTCTAAAAAATAGTGTTCGGAAAGTTTTGTTTATTTCGTCATTCCGCTGATATGGCGATTTCTTTGACGACTGCAATATATTTCTGAATCGTTTGTGTGAATTGCTCCTTATTATTAAAATATCCAAAATTAGAACAAAGCCGAACACAATTTTGAAACTGACATCTTTAGCTATGCCTATGTCCTGTGAAAATTTGAGAAAAATTCGTTAAAACCCGCAGGAGCACAACTCGTTTAAAAACTAGTAATTGCCGTAAAATTTCTTCGGGAGAAAATTGAATTTGAATATTACATTTTCAATGTTTTTCTTATTGCAGCGAAATGTATTTTATTAAATAACTCTGCGAGTTTTCAACATTTTTCGTCCAGACTTGGTCAGATAGTAGAACTAGTCTAATGCTTTCATGAAAACCAATAAAAAAAATTAGGCAAAATGAACACTCAAAGGTGTTCTGTAACCTTAAGGTGATTCATCAGTAATTGTTCTGGAAATGAGAATTTGCTGAGACTTCCCATGCAGGGGCGAAGTTTATCTGTTTATGATATGCTCATAGTGAAAACAGAAAAGAAGTTGGGGTCACCGAACTCGTTTCGAAGATATCAGTGACAAGTGCAATATGGCGCCACCTTGAGTCCTTTACCGTTTTACGAGTTACAGGTACAATCGCAATTGCTCAACCGTTATTGAATTTTTTAAACAAGTATACTACTAAAAATGTCTATCTAGTGATTATATACAAGAAAACATGGTATTTTAGCGAATCAACGTGCATTGTCGTGGTGCAAAGATATTTTTTCCCATCTTCTCAGACATGTTATTTCGGGAAGCATGCACGAAAAATGTAAAATGTTATAAGTTATAAATGGTTTTTCTCTTATTTTCTGATATGACATGTAAAACATGTAGAAGAACAAAAATATAAAATAAAAAAGTAGGGTCATGGACCTTCTTAAAGAGATACAAGCCTATAGGGTTAAACATGCAACATGATGTGGTTTAATGTTAGTTGCACAGTAGCCCTAGCCAGAGGTTTGTCATTTTTGAAGGTGTATTACCTGAAGCGCGCCTATATAGTCAATGCAGAGTGTTTTTCTCTTTGCCCTTACTCTTTCTTTATCACTTTACATTGCAGTTCGACTACATAGATTTGAGCTAGAATTTGCTATTAGGTATGCGCAGTAAAAGTGCGCAATGCAAAACTGATGAATCACCTTAACCTTACGTTATTGGGCGCAGTATACCTGCTTGCATACATGTTTTGAAAAACTTCGTCGACTGTTGTTATGTGAAACTATTTAATCAATTGCGTGCACACGCGCAACAGACGGTTAATGATGACTAATTTGACTTAAATTACTTAAATTCGGCACAACGCTCAAGCGTGGTGCATTTACCACTCAATACATTTCTGTAAAACTATATTGATTTGTAAAAGAGCATTGCTCGCAACTTACCACTAGTTTACATCTATTGCTTTTCTCTTATATTAAGGAAAAAATTGATGTCATGAAGATGCTGGCTGGTTTGTATATTTCTTATTACTAATTGTTTTCATTAATCATTATTGTAATAATGGTACAAATGGTATTTTTGAATATTGACCATTGCAGAATGAAGAATTCTTATCTTTTGAATGCTCAGCTCTTTCCAAGGTAAACATTTTAAAATTTTGAATGACTTCAGATGGTGTATCAGCAATGAAGTTCCTTACCGCAGCCAACAGCTGGGCATTCTGTTGTCGCTGTCTAAATATTGCGGGCGCATTTCTTTAACAAATATTTTGATTCTTCGAACGCTGAAAATATGCATTGTGAGAGGATTTTTTGTCCTCTTTTACTGGTTTGTTCATGGAAAATAAAGTGTTTCTTGAAAGATTAAGTTGTAGTGCTTGTACGCAACGATATAACGACTTAATCGCATGAAAACGTGCGAAGAATTTTTATTTACAAATGGGCGACAAGTGGAAATGTTTCACTCATTGTCAGAGTTTCAGAAGCAGGGTACAGCAGTATGGAAACAAGGAAGTGTTCATATTTTGCTCTTGATAGAAGCTGAGTTGTTGTTGTTTCCACAGGTATGTTCAATAATTTGTTTGTCCTTCCTCATCTGGAATAATAAGTGTCTTAAAATACATATTTTGATGAAAATGACACATATTCCTCTTGCAATTTCGTAAAAACTGGCCGTTGCCTTCAGTTAGAAAATATATTTTATGAAAGTTAAATCATACTTTGTTTTATTAAAACCTGAGCTATTCATGGGAAAAATGTGCTAGATGTTGTAATTGACAAATCCACTTGTGAAGTGAAAATGTCATGTTGTCACATGCTTATGAAATTGCTCCTGTATTGGTTTGTTATAAAGTAAAAATTGCTGCAAAAATGCTTTTGAAAATGTTCAAGTATTGGTTGTTATGAGATAGGAAATGCCGCATTGATTTGTTCAGTTTTAAGAGTCTAACGGCAATCCTGAATATAGGCATGCTTGCTTTGTGAAATTCTGTGGTGATATGGCATATAAATAAAAATATCTTAAAATTTTTACCATTGCCTCTCTCCGAAATATGGCTTAAAACTATCCTTATTAGTCAACCTTCATGGAAAAGTTAGTGGGTATGCTGGGAAAAATGCGCGCGGCACTGTTTTTGGACACTGAAGATGGTAACATTTGATGTTGTCATATATTGCCATCTTCTTATCATAGCATAACTTAACTTATTTTAGTGAGTTTGTTAAAGCATTGTGCTCACTATATGCCTGTAGTATCTAAGACTTTTTCATAGCATTATATGACAAATTTAAGTTCTGTTTTCTTTTATTTTTAGGTGATACTATCTGTTCACTTGAGTGTTGGTATCAAATTTTGGACAAGTTTCAATTATTATTTCACATTCCTTTATTCAAATATCCAAATAAATGGAATATGACATCAAACTGGACGACTAGATTCTGTTTCCAAACTTGTTTTTGTAAAAATAGAAAATAACAACTTATTATGTGTTGTTCTAATAAAAACTATTGTTTTTGATATGCATATTTAATTTTTAAAATTACAGTCATTCTTTGCTAAAATGTGTACCAGGAATACTGAAATCTTTCAGATCAGCTACCAATTCCCTTTATAACTTATGTAGCCAAGTGTTCTATCAATTTCTGTTCAGATTAAACAAATGATGGGTAAAATATTAGTTTAGATTCTTTTCAAAAAAATGAGCTTGCCTATTTTGAAAGCATAAAAAGCAATAAAATAAAGCAAAAGTACTTATTTTTAATTTAAAACCTTTGGACTGCATAGCTTAATGTTTTCCACTAAATATTACAAAGTTTTTATTCATTGAAATGTTGTTTTTTCAGCTTTAAAACCAGATAAATCCACGAAGCACTCCTATAAATATGTCGCCATATTGATTTTTTCGCGCATGCTCCGTACAAAATGCCCAGCTGTTACCGCAGCCAAGATAACTCACAGTAACAAAATGGAAGACCTGTCCAGAGAATTTTGGAAAAGGATTTATAAAACGGTATGACTGTTTCCTGGCTTGCTATGGCCGCTTCGCAGTTAATCTGCAGAACCTAAAGGGAAAAGGTCATCTTCAAATTCAATTTATGAAATAAACTAGATGCATTTTTGAACCTATAGGCTAAATTTGTCTCCAGTCTCAAGAACTTATCTTGTGTATGCAATATTGAGTTTTAAGATTTCGTTGGAATTCAGTTTATTTTTGTCGTGGCCGTGGTCCATCACCTTTCTGTATTGCTCTTTTTACACTTTAGTCCACGATACGTTCGGTATGTTACCGTTTTGCCTTTTGGGCATTTCACTCTATTAAACTAATGTTGAAGGATTTTGTAGATGGAAACGTCGAGTAGAAATTTCGAAATAACACCAGGAGCAGCAGCGAGAAATGGCAGGAATCGAACGTGTAATCGAGCTGTAGTTCTACATGAAAAAATGGGTAGTTCTAAAACTTAAAATTGGCAGTTCTAAAACAATTGGCAGTTCGCCAAAAATGTTGGGAAAAGAAATATTAATTAGCTAATTGATTGGAGTTCTAACCGGGGGGCACTATACTGTCCACTTGGACACTGTGGATTTTTTTGAAATCGGATTAATTAATTGAATTGATTGATTTAATTGCATGATACCATGAGTGCGATTAAGGTGGCTCAATAGAATTTTTGAAAAAATGGAAAATGCACGATTCAGATCCGTATTTTTGGACAATTATTAGTTGTTGAAAAACAAAAAGTATCTTACTCATATGAAACAATATCTAAAGAGTTTGAATTTTTACACAAAGTTACACAACTGCCGTTGCTATGGCAGCAATGACGTTTCAAGATGGCGGATATTTTGGCTCTAAAGTAATTTAACTCGTAAACAACATCGGTGAACCC